GAACCTTCATCCTCTTCACAGTATCCAAAGCTGGTTCATCTAAGTAGCGGTCATCTTTATGGAGAGCCAATGCATGACCAATAAAGTCCATGGTGTTGGCATCAAGGCCATATTTTCTGTCAGAAGTTCAGAGTATTACCAGCACAAGAAGTTTGAGTAGTTACTACTTACTAAATATGCATCATACTGAATACATATAGCTAATAAATGTTGTTTGTTCAAAATAATGTTTTCTTCTCATCTCTTGAAATCTGTTTTGTTTCTAAAGCAAGTTACTTATAATATTTTTCTTTTTACTTTTGTTTAGCAGATTGTGTGCATTATTCACAGGGACGAAATACTCAAGCCATAATTTCGCATATTTTCTTTTGGAAACAAATCCTAAAAGGGAAATGGTAATAACTATAGTATACATGAATTTGATAGTGAGCAGCTCCGGTTTAACAAAATGCTTATGCTATGATTCTCCAAAATAACATTCGAAAATGTCATTAAGCCAACCTCTTTTATCTATATGTGCCCCTGAAATAATCCAGAATTCAAAACGACCTTATACATGTTCCTCAATTGATATGAACAATATAAAAAGAGAGGGGGAGGGAGGCAGTAAAGATCGAGAGCATACGCAACGAGCTCTCTAGTCGTTACTCTTGTCAAATCCATCCCTTCATGTGTTTTAGGAACATTTTCATCGTATTCTTGGACATATATGAAGAACTTTCGAGCACGGCGCTTTTCAAATATACCCATGAGAGGAGATTTGAGGGCCTCCATGTCAGTGGCTGGGACCTTGTGAACCTGTTACGTTGACCACAAAATTGGGCAAGTTTCAGTTGCTTTAGCTGGTGTGAAACAAAAATCAACATGTACCCAAAGAAGGTTAAAAAAGGAAACAGCTAATACCTTTCCTTTGCTGTACACATAGCTGCCATCAACAGATTTGAAATTCAAATATTTAGTAACATTAGTATGAATGAGGACACGCAAAAGAGCACCATTTGCCATTATAAACTGAGAAAATCAGTAGGTCAATGTAGCATCAAAATAAAATGGAATGAGAAAAAGAAATCTATGAAAGGGATTCGAATAAATTAAAAATGATAACCTTTGGGATCATATCGACATTGTAATCTCTAATAGAATCCAAGTGAGTTGGAGGATTATCACTTCCTCTAAACCTCTTCCACAGCTGCATATTAAAAATTTCAGTAAATATAAAATAAAAAATTTATATGGCATGTGCATGAATCCTGCTCTCTGGGTTTTTGGGTGCTTATGCGCCAAGAGTTGGGAGGTGGGGAGGTAGGGAAGTGGGTTTCAAGTGGCACATCTCTCCCAGAAATAACAGAGAAAGGGTTACCTGAACAAGGTTGAGTGAAGTTGATTCTCCACCATAATAATCATTCCTATCCATGTGAAGGACCTATTTCCCAAGAAATAACGTTTCAGGCCCAAGAACTAAGAATAATTTTTGGGTCTAAACAGTGATTATACAGATTTGTAGAGAAATTGTATGAATATAAATCACACTTGTGCAAAATCAAATGGTGTAATACAGACTTGAAAATGTTGACTATCCATCAGATATCACACATCGTGGTAAGAGGACATAGATTAAAATTAAAGCATTTTAGGCTAAAAATCTCACAAACGGGAATACCACCGCCAATCTTCTATAATTTTATTTTAAAATAGATCACCTTATCAAATAAATGAGATCAAGAAACTAAAAGAAGCAAATAATACAGGAGTAAATCCAACCATAAAGAGCAATATCCATACAGATTTAAGGTAACTTACGTCAAACAACTGTCATGCATACCCTTTTACTGTACACACATTTCTTATTAGAATGAGCGTCTCAGTTGTTTCAAATCCAGAAACATGAAGACTAAATCCATTCTCAAATTACGCTAATTCAAATTACCCATTTCAATGAACCAAAATCAGACAAATTGCAGAATTCTGGTTTGTAATATCACAATCTCTTTCATTGTTTGAGAGAATCAAAATTAGAAAAAACAACCTTTAGACGGTCGACTGAGAGGAGACCGCTGAGGATGCATTCCTTAAGACCTGTACCCAGCACTATCACATCGTACTCCTCATCCATATTTCTTCAATTTCACTTTGTCCCTTTAATTGATTCTTCAATTGAAATCGGTTGATTTACGATCTAAATCCAAAAACGAAAAAATTAAAAAAACACCAAAACAGATCAATCAGATCGATGACAGCGAGAAAATTATATACATATGTGAGGTGTTAAACACATGCATGAAAGTATGGCAGTTTGCATGGGAAGTTTATTAACTTACATATAAATTTCGTAAATGGAGAATGATTAGGGAAATCACATCAGAAATGTAAAGATGGCGTGGAAATATAGGTGATTTTAAATTGTGTACTAAGGGCACGTTTGATTGGACTTCTACTTTTATTTATACTTTTACGAAAAAAAATTCAGAGCGAGCTAATTTATGCCAAGAACAAATGCGTTATTAGACTTTTTTCATAAATATGTTCAAAAATAACTTTCTAATTTTATAAGCGAATTTTAACTTTTTAAAAGCTCGTCAAAAGGGTTATAAGACTCAAATGTTCGATGTAAAATTTTATTAATGGAGTAATTTAAGGGTGTGTAATATTTTTATATGGTACTTTGTTTAAGAAAACAATCTAATTGCTCTCTTGAGCTTTAAATAGATTGATTTGTTCGAGTTTAACAAGCTCGCAGAACATCTCCAATGCATTTTTCTATTTAGGTGGCATGAAAGTTGAAAGACTTCCGATTTACATGATATTAATATTTAATAAATAGACACTTCAATCTAAAATTAATGTCCAATATATTTCATCAACTGCTATTTATGTATTCAGTTATTTCTTAAAATAAAATAAAATTACGTTTAAATCTAAATAGAAATTATAAATTTGGGGAAAAAACTTAATTTTGCTTCGTCATTCAATCTAAAGCTTTTGAATTTAGACGAAACTCTTATACGATGTCTACTTTTTCTGTAATGTCAGCTTGACAGATTCTTGTCAAGACATATTGAAGATGAACTTTTTTAAACATCGTCCACCTCTGCTTATGTAGTACAAATTGTTGAGCAATTCACAGTTACATTGGAGATGCTAAGATAGCAAGAATTGACTCTAGTGGCATATTAAGCCTTGTTTGATGTGGATTAAAATAAGATTTTTAATAAATTTTGATAAAAGTTTTTAAGATATGTGGTTAAAAAGATGTGTGACCTATAAAATATGTGGTTAATATTGATTGTTTGATTTTGGTTTAGGTTAAAATCTGATTTAAATCAATATCAAACAGGGGCTAAAACATTTCTATTTTAAATATAAATATTGATGAGAGGAATAACAAATTCTTATATATTGTTAATACTTTTAATCTCTGGGCTCCATCAAAATGAGTGTTTTGGGAAAAATATATTTTGAAATAATAATTTTTTTAGAATGTTTAATTAAAAAATAAGGAAAATTTTTGAATTTACATGTAAAATTATTTTATAGGAATGTGTAGTTAAAAATGAGTTTTTTTAAAAATGGAGTCCAAATAGGGTCTTATATTTATTCGAAGTTCTACACTTAACATTCTTAGCTTATTGCTTAGGTAACCAACAGGTTTTAAATCCAAATTTTTAACATTTGGCCCAACATTTTTGCAGCATCACGATCCTCGGTTCGTAGCATGGTCCAACTGACTATTAAAAGGTCGAAGGTTGTTTGAAAAAGTTCTTTATAAAAGTTTTAATAGATTTTAATAAAAGTTAATATAATAGTGTAATTTAAAAGTTGATAAAAGTAGTATATCTCATTATTCTATAGTTAAAATTGAAGTTCGACTAATTAAAAAGTTGATTAAAAAAGTAAAAAAAAAAAAAAGTTATATCAAATAAGTAACTAAATAGACAAATATCATTATCTTAATTAATACAAAAATAGATAACAAAAAAATAATAAAAATGAAATAGATTGGGGACTAATGATGCAAATTTCCCAAAAAAGTTATAATTTCCTTTGAGAAAAGAAATGGAAAGGTGATTTGGAGTCTTGGACGGTAGCAAAGAAATAGCATTTTGGCCTAAAGCATATTTGGACTAAAAATTTGGTGTGGTCAATGAGAAAAACGTGTATTATTCTCCCAACCACACTATCCATCCCTTTCCTGATATCGATAGGTGAGTTTGAGCCCAATTTTGAGAGAAAAATTGAATAGCATTTTTTGAGAATGTATATTTAAAAATGAAGAATTTTTTATTTATTTATCTGTAATATTATTTTATTGGAGAATATGTAATTGAAAATGAATTTTAAAAAAATAAATTTTGATATAATGGGGCTTAAACAAGAGCTTAATCACCTCTCTCAATCGGGCTTCATGTTCACTTAGGGCTTATTTGATAGGGCCTATTTTCCATGGAAGATTGAAAATATTTTCCACTTTTCCATTTTTTAACCTGTTTGATAGCCAAAAATTTTCAAGCAAAAGATTTTCCCACTTTCTTGCACATGACCCCTCCAATTCCATGAAAATAAGGAATTCAATTTCCCACCTCATAGATGGTTTTTTGTTTTCTTGGAAAATTGACAAATTCTCACCATGAAGTTGACACATTCTTCTCCAAAATTCAACCACCATACCGCCATCAACCCACCGGATTTCCACACCATCATCATCTCCTCATCCCACTCTTCAATTCCATACCAAAAATCGGACATAACAGTTCCAAAATCACCGAAAATTCAGCCAAAAAATGACGCCTTCAAGCACGGTTCCAACACCCATTCCGGCCAACCCTCCAACACCCATAGCCATACTCCATTACAGCCCCTAATACTCATGAAGATGAGCATTTTCATGGTCCCATATTATCAAGAAATGATTTATAATGGATTACATCTCTTACCAGTTCGAAGGCAGCAAATCGCGCACAGTGCATCCCAAATTTCGGCGCCGACGTTGAGAATCTCGGTCGCACACCACCACCATTACCTCTTATTCATTATGACGAACGACATATATACATGGGTCTTCGTCAATTTAGCTCGAATTAAAAAAAAAAGACCATTAAATTGCAAAAAAAAAATGTTGCCTCCAAACCATTGAAGATGGCAGCCAGAGGCGGCGGGATGATTCAGTGATGTGTGAAGAAAATGGAAATGGGATGATTTAGTGATGGTGAAGAAAATGGAAAATGGGAGGATGATGTTTTTATTTTGGTTTAATTGAAATGGAAATGGAGATGGATTCTGTGAGGTGAAAGAAATTGGAAAATGGCAGGATACAATTTACATAGAAAACAAAACCAATCAAACACCAAATCTTAATATTTTCCAGGTAAAAAATTATACCAATTAAACGCAACTAATTGACATTTCTCGGGAAAACAATTTATAGGCAATTATTTTCCCTGGAATTCGTTTTCTTTCCATCCTATTTTCCATCTTGCAATCAAACGGACCCTAATTATTTCTTTCTATAAAGATATGTGAAATACTTAAAAATAAGACTTTTTAAACGAAATATTAAAAAAGTGAGGATATAACCCACTTTTGAAAATTTACCAATTTATTCAAACTTTCCCCCATCCATAATTCTTGTTAGAAGTACAAATTGCAATATTGAATGAGAATTGACTTTTTTTTTTTTTATCAGCACATGATTGAGAGTGATTAATGACTTTTTTTTATCAGCACAAATCAATAAAATTACTTTAAATTTCATCACACATTCTCAAAAAATATTATTCATTACTTCATTTCTTCTACGATAATGGGAGACAAACACACATTTAATTTCCACCAAACAAGTGCTTAATTAGAATGTAAAGAATAAAAATAAAAATAAACAGATTGTAGTGTTAATCTAATTCCATGAGATTTCCATGTTGGAAAAGTATAACATTATCCATATTAACACCCATCAGCCATGGTCCTCGATAGCGATAGAAATTGACTTTTAATGAATTGAGAACCATTTGGTCATATCTATACAAAATAGTTCACACTCGCCATCAATGATCAAACCCTTAAATCCAACTTTAGATTTTCAAAACAACCTTGTCAAGTCCCCAAATGTCCCGTCCGAGCCCCCCACTGCAACCTGTCCCGTTCGATTTTTATTTCGTTAGGTTCGACTATGATTGAATTGAAGTTAATTTTACTAATTATTTCTTTCAATAAAGATATGTGAAATACTTAAAAATAAGACTTTTTAAACAAAATATTAAAAAAGTGAGGATATAACCCACTTTTGAAAATTTACCGTTGTATTCAAACTTTCCCCCATCCATAATTCTTGATAGAAGTACAAATTGCAATATTGAAGGAGAATTGACTTTTTTAATTACTGATTAGTATTTGATTAAGAATCGTTTTACTGATTTATTTATTTTTACTAGTTGAAGCTCGCACTCGGCATCCAACTCGTTAGCTAACTATTTCTTTCTATAATGTTGAACTCTTTTTGGTCAAACTTTATTCCTTTCTTTTAAAGAGTAGCGTTAACTAAATATTTCTTGTATTAATTTATTTCAAAGAATGAAACTTGGTGTATTTTGTCATGTAAAACTGTTTGTTCCTTTTATATTTTATGGTTGTCATAGCCACCTAACATACGGTTTGTGAATGCAATACTTATGAGAATGCCTTCTTATATTATGATTTGAGGTTTATATCAAATTACATATTCTTCAATAAAATAATATTATACGTAAATAAAAAAAAAAGTCCTTTTTTAATCGCGCATTCTTCAAAAAATTATTATTCCAAATTTTTTTTTTTTTTTTTTGAAATTTTGGTAAAATTCCATTGTTTACAGGGTTAGATGAGCAGTTGTCTACTTTCTAAGCAAAGGAGATGAAAGTATTTCAACCATCCCCCAACGTCGGCTCGAATCCAGTTCATCATCCTTCATAGTTAAACTTCATTCTCTCCCTTAAAATTTTGTTATGTAATACATTTTTTTTCCTTGTTGATCTATATTTAGGCAATAGTCGATGTGAAATTTATCATTTAAAATGCTCCTGGAAGATGGTGGCTCGTTTGTGCAAATTAATCTTGAAATTCGTGTAATTGTATTTTAATCTT